AGGAATGCCTTGAGTGTTTGGGATAGGTTTTGTTGATCTGTTCTGTTTGTTTTTTTTTTTTTTTCCAGACTGGAAATAAATATTTTTGAAAAGAAAAAGAGCAACAGTACGCAGATCTTTAGTTAGAGATGAAGTTTCCCTTGGGCTCCTCATATACCAGTAAGTATATCATTGCATCATTAAGAATGGTTAGTCACTTTCATAATGCAATGTCTTAGCAGAACCAAGAGGATCATAAATAACAATGTTTGTCCTTTTGGCCTCCCTCTTTTCCCTTCCTTCCTTACCCCTTCTCTTCTCTCTCCCTCCTTTTCTCTCTTCTTCCTCCTTCTCTCTCTCTCCCTTATAACAGAATGGGTGCCATCTCAATAGTATTGATAAAAGCAGACCCCTACGAATAAACACTAGCGTACTGAAAGCACTTGCACAAATGGGATTTCTGGTAGAATAAGTACTGGATTGCAAACCACAAGGTTGGTAGTTCAAATCTACCAGTTACTCCTTGGAAACCCTATATGGGGTCACTATGAGTCGGAACTGACTCCATGGCCCCTGACAACAACAGCAAGATAAATAGGGCTACCTGATTGTAGCAGCTTGGGGAATGGTCGCCAGCCTCTGGGGGTCGGCTTCACCACGTGGGTCCCAGGGGACTTAGGGAAATGGAATGTGATCATTGTCAGACTCTCAGAGCATGAAGAAACTTGACCATGGCCACCTTCACCAATCTCTGTACATCTTCCAGTCATGTCCAATTTGTCACCCTAGAAAAGGACACAGCTCATAGGAATTTTAACTAAAACTCCCCAGTAGTAGACCGACTGACTCACAGACATGATCTAGTGGAGCCACTGACTTCATCAGTTTTCTCCCAAAGTCCTACTTTTGAGATACAAAGGACTAGGATGAATGTGGCAGGTAGAGACTGGGAGGAGCTTAACAGTAGTCCCCTCAACTGAGTTGGTCTGCAACAGCAAATAGGAACCATCTTAATGGTTGCTTAGACCAAACCTACTGTAGCTGCATAGATCAGTCCCAGGTATTATTCTAGAAAGATCCCATGAAAATGCATAGTACTGACAGAGTACGGACATCTCTTAACCAGGTCTAGTCTTTCACATAGAAATAACCAAAAAGAGAGAAAAGAAAAATAAATAAATAAAGAACACTGAGACCGTAGTGTCAGAGTTGGGAAAGTACATGCATTGGTTTTTCCAAAGGCAGGAAGGAGGGAAAAAATAACATAAATATCAAAATATGGTGCATGGAGAAATGTACTTACCAGCAATGATCAAGATCCAAGTAACACTTCAATGTCTAGGGACTCAACAGATGTGAGGGATGTGTTAATAAAGCTTTCTTCCCCATAGCTTCTTCGTCAAAGAAGAGACTGGTGATTTTGCCATCTAGATGTTTGGTTCTGATGACGGACAGGAAAGCAAACATATAAAAATAAAAAGTGACCGTGTGGATCTTTGAAAGTACGGTGCAGATGAGAGAACGGAAAACAATTTTCAGGTTCCTTTTTAGCTGTGTTGCCATTTCCAGCTACTAGTGGCGAAGGCGTCCTGTCTGTTCACATCCATTTCGTTGCCAAGATGAGCTTGCTCATGGTAAGTAAGTGTCTGTGAGTCATCGAATTAGAGCCATTAGTCATACACAAAGAGGCAGCGTGTAGTCTGATTGATTAATCAAGAGTCCTTGGTGAGCAAGGCCAGGTACCATTGTACAGGTGTGTACAATTCTCCCCCTAGAATAAGAACTGGCAACTTTAAAAGCAGCCATCATAAAAACACTCTGTGTTCACACACATTTGCAAGTTAACAATGGAATGACTTCTAAAGCTTTGGTTTATCAAAAAAAAAAAAAGAGAGAGAGAGAGAGTTCCTAAAAATCACAACATTTTTTGACTATGTTCTCTACAAGTGCACAGTGAATGTTTTTTCTTTCTTTCTTTCTTTTTTTTAAACAAAACAGTGCCTTAGTGATTTAAATAAATTTTAAAAAATAAAAACAAGAGCAATATCTACTTTCTACAGCATGCAACACTCTAAGAAGGTGGTTTGAGCCACAGTGGCCTTTTAAGAGAACTGCCCTACAATTTAAGTTTTCTCAACTCCCAGCCAAAGCACATTAGAACATTGTCTCTTATCTTTCCCTCGTTTTCAATGTGTATTTTCTTGAAGAGACCAAGACCTAAAATTTTCTCTCCTGTAAATAGCATCTATATTTATTTTTACAATATAATGACTCCCAATTTCCCCAGAGTAGCACAAATGAGGGTGGAATGTGGGCTTTGTGACTGTGGGTCAAGTCATCAGAATTTTTTCCTAAGGAAAATTCTTGTGACTTCATATTTGTAGCAAATTATGCATATGGAGAATGAGTTCACTAGGAGAACCTAGGCTTTTAACTTAAAAAAAAAAAAGTTTTTGTGTTTCTCCCCGCCCCCGCCCCATGAGTACGGCAGCTTGTTAGACCTTTCCCTCCTAATGTTGGAATGTTGGGACAGAAAAGGAAAGACAGTTGAAAAAGAAGCAAGAGAGGATGGGTATATTGAAAGATAAGTGGAAAGGATAAACTGCAGTGGAGTTCTCTTCCTTGTCCCCCTCATAAAAAGAAAAACATAAAATTAAATTGGACCCTCATAAATATCAGTCCTATTAGAGTAATCCATGATATTTAGTCCCATGATATGTCAAACTATGCACTTCTCTAGTCCTGCTTGAATTTTTCTCTGGTATGGCTTCTCACGTCTCTAGATACTCTTCAGGGTTACTTACGTGGCCCATTCTAGTCTTTGGAACGAAGAGGTTATGTGGGAGAACCCAAGCAGTCGGTTTCCCTTGCTTTAGGATTCTCCCTCATTCCATCCACCATGTTTAGCACCTCAGAAACAGCAGTAGTTTGATTATGGATTGAGAAAGATGGGAGATCGGGATTGGATTATATAGACTAAGTGTGGGCTAGCTGCTATCAGTGACCAAAGGTTTCTGGGTACAGGATTGGGACCACTTCAGTTAGCTTTGTAGCTGAGGGACTTTGCTTTCATATGAATGAATCGCTTCTGTCTCTTTCTTCTGTCTCAAGAATCCCCTAACTGAAGCTATGTGTGGCTTCCATTTTGAGACAAGCAACAGACAGATGAAAAGCAGCCTACACTAAGGACATATCTTTCATAACCTTTGTTGGATGGACTTTCTCAGCACTCTCCAAGGAGCTGACATTTTCTTTTCATGTTATGTCTAGTTGTTTTTATGAGATTTTGCCCCAACAATGCCTGAGAAAAATTATGGGTTAGAAAGGCTATTGGTGCTTTCAAAGGCAGTAAAAAGATATATATATATATATATTTGGCATTCGTAGTTTGAGAAAACACATTTTTTGAATGCATTGCTGAAATGATCATCAGTCACTGAATGTTGGTAAATATTAATATATAAATCGGAATCGACTCGACGGCAAGTATCAACAACAAAATATATATCCTGTTTGTTCTTGTTGATTGTCACAAAAGTCTCTGTTGGCTTATTTTTCATTCTCTTCTCTTTTCTTTTTGGTAATAAAAGTATCCTTGGATGTGTGCTTTCCCCCACGGAATTCCTGTTGGTCTTTCAGAGCACTGTTGGATCAGCATTCTACCACTGCTGTAAGTGAAGATCCATGGGAGAATTCAAATTGAGATCCGTGACATCCAAGAAATCAATGTTAAAAATGCTGGGGCCGCTAGTGGTGAGGGAGCCAAAACCTGGTGTGGAGCTTGGTGGAGTGAGATCCAACCACTCCATGGTCTCCCAAGGAGATTCAGTGAAGCTTAATGGGAGCCCATTGCTGTCCACAGAAGAAGGTGAAAGCTGAGTCTGCATGGGAGAGAGGGGGCCTGGCAAGATTTCGTGTGCATTGAAGAGGTCTTCTGCCACCTTCCCAGAGAATCCATCCATGATCCCATCAAACTGGGGTTCCTCGCTCCCAAGTTTTAGGAGGGTGGCATCGCTCACCTTTCCTAAGGGGCTCTGGGAATTTAGTAAGACTTCAAGGTGCTCATCATTTTCCGTGGCATAATGATCAAAGGAGAGCTGACCCCCTGAATTAGCTTGTTCAAAGGAAGCTGAAGGCTTGGGGAGAGCAGCGCTGGGGTTTCGGGAAGGCCCGGGTATCTTTGGGACTTTTTGAAGACAGGAATGATCCTCTCTGGCGTCAGCGGGCATTTCTGTTGGAAAAACCCAAAGGCAATTGTTAGATCACATCAAATGGAGCACGCCCACATTACCACTCTTTGGAAGAATGAATTACATTAAGATCCACACAGGAAGGAGTCATGTTTTATGTAGTAATCTCTCATCATTCTGAGTTTTGTTCCCAAACTGCCCCAAGTACGTAGTCACAATTCTACCCTTTCACCCTTCCTGGTGTGGCGCTGTGGGTTAATGCGCTGGACTGCAAAGCCAGCTTGAACCTCCAGGTCAGTGGTTCAAGCTCACTAGTTGCTCTTTGGAAATCCTATACAGGATTGCTATCCATAGAAACTGACTCAACAGTACTTAACAACAATCTCTGGAAATCCTGGGACCTCCTGACAGCTGGCTGTCCCCTGAAGACCAGCATCCTCTGTTATGCCCTCAGTGGAGGCCCGCATACTTCAGGGGCCTTTGCGTTTCCCATTGTCTCATTCTGATTTCTAACAACTCCTTGGCTGTTTCCTGCCTCACTGTGTTCATTGATCAGTCTCCTGACCACATCTTGGCATTTGTTGGACTATTCTCCAATTCACAGCCATTTCCCCAACTCAATTCTTATTTTTCTCTGCCATGTCAGATTTTCAGAAATGATTCACTAACCACACAAGGAAAGGAGTCTCTTGACCTCCTCACCCCCAGACAACTCCAGGGATGCTTCTATCCCCACGGTGCTGAGGATGCCCTGTATCTTGTCATCACCAACTACTGAATCACTCTGAAAACTTGACCTTAGGCAAAAATCCCCTTTCTCTGTCCATGACCTCCCATCTTTCTGGTTCACTTGTTAAACATGGTGACACTTTTCCAGGCACTCCGAATCATTTTAATCCACTGACTCACAATTTTATCCATCTTCACAGCCCCTGCTAACCTTTCCTTCCTTTCTCTTCTAATCTATAGTCTATTGTCCATCATTATGATTGAAATCCTCGGTAGTACAAATGACTAAGGTGCTCAGTTGCTAAATGGAAGGTTGAAGGTTCGAGTCTACTCAGAGGTACCCCAGAAGAAAGGACTGGTGATCTACTGAAAGCCCTAAGGGGTACAGTTCTACTATGATACACATGGACCCATCAGGAATTGGAATTGACTGGATGGTACTGGGTTATTTATTTATTTCTTGAAACTTTTTATTGTGAACTGGGTGAAGGTTTACAGAGCAGACCAGTTCTCCATTCAGCAATTCGTGCACATTTTGTTTCATCTCATGGGTTACAATCCCCGCAATAGAACATCACTTACCCCACTTCCTCTCTGTGTTTCCTGTTTCCATTCCTCCTTCTTTCATAACCCTCCTGCACCCTCACTCTTTGTCTTTCGGTCAATGCTGCTTCTTTGTTCTCAAATGGCTGATTATTCTAAGGTGTGCATACCTCCTTAGTGTTACCCTTCCTCCTATAGACCTAATGTTTCGCTGAAAATTGAGCCATAGGATGAGATCTTTTCCAGACCTGAGGAGTAATTAAGGGTCATATTCCGAGGGGTCCCACCAGTCTCCATCCGACCCGTAAGCCTCATATTTTTCATGATCTTGAATTTTGGTCCATGTCCCCCCCCCGCCCCCAAGTGTATCCAGAACCTTCTAATGTGATCCCTTTCAGAACAGTTGGTAATGGTAAATGGGCACCATCTAGTTCTTCTGATCTCAGAGTTGTGAGACTGATGTTCCTATGGTGCACTAGTCCATTGGACTAGTTGTTCCAATACATCTTCAATTTTCTTCACTCTTCTTTTCTTCAAAGAGGGAAAGATCAATAGTTGCACCTTAAATGAACGCTCATGATCTTTGAAGACTCCAGTTGCTACTCACCAAAGTGGGATGTAGAACATTTGTGGACTATACTATCCCAACTGAGCTTAGTGTTCCCTGAGACCGTGGTTCTGAACTCCCAGGCCCAGTAAATCTTTTCCTCAAGGTGTTTGATTACGTCTGAGACGTTTTCATATCTTTGCTCTGCTATATACTCATGGATATGTTTGAAGAAAGGGTAACTTTTTTTTAACTATTGTAATTGCTTTTTTATAAATACCCACAATCCCTTTGTCCTCCTTCCTTGATCCATGCTCTTTTGGCAAAGCCCTAACCATGACTAAATCGTATCATCTGCTTTTCTGAGTCTGCACTGGATCAGCTAGTTATTCAAAGAGAAAAAATGGCACAACCATGTTGACTGGTTTTACTCTAAGTTCATGATCTCCAACTTCCTATTTGCTACTCAATACTACCTAGCAATCTTACTATGCTTTTCTATGAAACTCAATGACTTCATGATTGATTCTTAACTGCTCTTCTTTCTCCTTATATTCCACCCTACCTTTCTGCACCCTCACTCTTAGAAGACCTTGTCTCAGACATCATTAAGAAAAGAAGGACATCTGATATGAATTCTCTCCAACAAAAAACTGATTTACTTACACCCATACCCATCTTTTTCTGCTCCCATCGTATCACAATTGAGGGTATGTCTGTTTACTTATTGTCTCCCCCACCTTCCGTACTCTATTGCTAACTCCATAAACCACCAACTCGGCACCATGGGGGTGATGTTGACTCATGTCACCCCAAGCATTTAGAAGTCAAATTGCATCCTATAGGCTTTCAATGACTGATTTTTTTAGAAGTACATCAGTAGGTCTTTGTTCCAAGGGGCCTCTGGGTGGATTTGAATCTACAACCTTTCTGTTAGCAGTTGAGTTGTTGTTGTTGTTAAGTGTTAAGTTGATTCTGACTCACAGAGACCCTGTATAGGCTTTCCAAGGAGTGGTTGGTGGGTTTGAATCTTGACCTTGTTATTAGCAGTCCAGTGCTTATCCTATAGTGCCACACCAGGACTCCAGCTGAGAGTATTAACCATTTGCATCACCCAGATAGTCCATAAAGGTGGTGCACTGTCTGTCTGGCTCAACAGTGAACCTAATGAAACACCTGGTCTCTCTTTCTGTTGAGTTCTCTGCTCCTCCTTCTTTGAAACTTCAAATGTGATTATTTAAATGTTTAGTCCTGACCTCCTTTTATTATCATATTCTCTGCTCGAGTTCTTATTCACTCGTGTGGTTTCAAGCACTAGGCAACAAACAAATGAATGACTGGGAGGCAAAAACAAAATGTTGATCATTGTTTGACCACTGACTTAAGTGAATTTAAGCATGAACAGGCTATCCAGGGAAAGAGAACTAATTGAATTTCATTTTGAGTGGTTAGCACAAAGCCTTCACTATCTGCTTTATCATTTTTTCTTGGGATTAAGAAGCTATTGGCATTGAGATGAGAAGAGTAGAGAAGAATGCTGCAACAAGAGAAAAATATTTCAGGAAACAGAGACTGGAATGAAAGAGGGGGGGAAATTGCTAAAATGAGACGGAGGATGTTCCCAGGAAGAAGGCAGTGAGGAAGCATCCACTATGTCTTCGATATGCGCTCCAAGCATGGGCAGGGAACTCAATGGAAGTAACTCTTTTGCAATGGAGTGCTTGGGACCCGTCTGATGGCACACATATAGCCATGGTCCTCAGTGTTCATTCCTTACAGTACCTGCAGGTACACAGTCACCTGGTGGATAAGAGGCAGAGACTCCTTACCTCCACTTTCAATGAGGACATCCAAGAGTTCATCCATCTGCTGACTCCGAGTCATCTGCTGTTGCAAAAACAACCAGGAGAATAGAAACATCAGAAAGTGGTTGTCTTTTCTCTAAGGCATCATTAAAAGCAGCCACAGAAGGTATTTGAATTATTTTTAGTGTTAAGGGTTTGGAACTCCATTTGACGAAAGCTTCCTATGAATGTTAAACAGGCAAACAACTGAGTGGAGCAGTCTATGACAGCAAGAGAAGGGGAAAAATAATTTGACGTACCACCCCACACAGAGTCATTTTGAGTGAGTTCAATTGTTTGAGAGATTTCAATCCCAGGAGCATGGGATCTTCATATACAAGTAGTCCTGGCATGGAGCTGCAGGATCAGCATTGGACTGCTAACCACAAGGTCAGTGGTTCAAACCCACCTATACAGGGTCTCTATGGGTTGGAACTGACTGGACACTTGATGACATTTAACAACAAGGTACCATGAGTTGCTATCATGCTGAAGAGGGATCAGTGGAACTTCTAGACTAAGACAGACTAGGAAGAAAGGCCGGGCAAACCAATTCCAAAGAGTAAAATAAATAAAAACATTGACTGAAAGCCCAAAGGTCTAATCCCATTGTGTCTGACATCACCATGAGTTGGGGGCTAAATGGATGGCATCTAACAACAACAACAAGACACCTTTTCTCACTTTGAAGGACTCGGATGCTGCTTACCTATTTGGTTGCTATGGATGTGGTCCGAGAACTTGGCTCACATTTTCCTTGGTTCATTACAATAGCATGTGGAACCTTTGACACTTGTACCGCCTGTCCACGCCTCCACCAGCTGCCACCTTCTCCCCCTTCCCTGTCACAGGCTCAACGGAGTTATTAAGTAGAGACTTATTTATAGCCATCCACTCCATCTGTACTTTTCCTTTTCCTTTGGATAAGTTGATACTTACAGATACCAGGGAAAGGGAATGGAGAGGCCAAAGGCATGTATCCATCTCAGTCCTCTAAAAGCCCAGCCTCTCTAAGCACTGCTGTTACTGCTGTGTGCTGTAAAGTTGGTTCTGACTCACAGCCACCCGCATAGGGGTTCCGAGGCTGTAAATCTTCCCTGGCAGAAAGCCTCGTCTTTCTCCCGCAGTGCAGCTGGTGGATTCAAACTGCTGACCTTGCGGTTAGCAGCCCAACACATAATCCACTAGGCTACCAGCACTCTTACCCTTAAACTCTGGTACCAACAGTGAACATGATGAATAGGAGCATAGCTCAGAGAAGGAATCCATTGCAGTCTAGAAGGTGTCTGATCCTACCTCTAGGATGGTATGGCAGACAATGCCGAGAAGCCCAGTCTAGAAAAGCAGGGGACTGAGCATTCTCAGTCCAGGGCGGAAGTAAACACACTGCTTTAGACAACTATCTGGGAAAAACGTGGTTCCACAGTTGCCAGGCCCCTTGATTTTTCCTAAATCAGAAAGCCCACTTTTTGTGTGGATGCTGTGCTAACTACTAACTACCTGAAAGGCAGGCTGTTTGAATCTACCCCAAGGCACCTTAGAAGGAAAGTCTTGGCAATCTATTTCCAAAAAATCAGCCACTGAGAACCCTGTGGAGCACAGTTCTGTCTGACACACACAAGGGTCGCTATGGGTCAGAACCAACTCAATGGCACCTGGTCGTTGTAGGTTTTGCATAAAATACTCTCTTTAAGCTAAATGAAGCCTTGTTGTTACGTGCTGTAGGGTCAGCTCTGACTCATTGTGACCCCATATAGGGTTTCTGAGGAGTGGCTGGTGGTTTTGAAGCATTGACCTTGCTGTTTAAACCGACCTTGCATTATCCTGTGGTGCCACACTGTAGGCTAAATTTACCTGCAGTATTACAATATTTAACAAGTGATGTGCCTGTTCTTTTTCTGAGGTAAGTAAGAAAAACATACATGAAGAGCTATCTGATAAGATACGAAGCTCACACCATTTAAGATATAGTATCATTTTTTTTCTTACATTTTATTTTAAAACATCCAAACGTAAGCGAAAGTAGAGAATACAATACTGTCTATGCATTCATTATTCAGCTTCAACAGTGGTTAAGATTTTGTCAGCAATTTTCAAGCTAGAACGAATCTTATGACAATTGTTGTTGTTATTGAGTGCCGTGGAGTCGGTTCCGACTCATAGCGACCCTGTACAGGGTTTCCGAGGCTATAAATCTTTACGGGAGCAGAACGCCTCATCTTTCTCCCGTGGAACCGCTGGTAGTTTCGAACTGCTGACCTTGCGGTTCACAGCCCGATTCGTAACCACTACGCTACCAGAGCTCCTTAGTTCTTATTATCAGAAAATCTATCAGAGAACAATAAACACTGGTAGCATAGTGGATTACAAGTTGGGCTGCTAACCGTAAGGTTGGCAGTTCAAATCTATGTGTCTCTTCTTGAGAGAAAAATCAGGCTTTCTGCTCCTGTAAATATTTATAGCCTCAGAAACACTATACAGGGTCTCTATGAGTTGGAACCTACTCCACCATGGCCCACAACCACCATGACCATCAGGAGGACGAACAATGTTATATGGGCTTTGGATACATTATCTAGAATGCTTACAATGTAGCTTGTTGTTGTTGTTAAGTGCTGTCGAGTTGGTTCCGACCCATAGCGACCCTGAACAGGGTTTCTGAGGGTGTAAATCTTTACGGGAGTAGAAAGCCTCATCTTTCTCCCACGGAGCAGCTGGTAGTTTCGAACTGCCGACCTTAAGGTTTGCAGCCCGATTCGTAACCACTACGCTACCAGAGCTCCTTACAATGTAGCTAAACACCCCTATTTTATATGAGAGAAGTTAGGTCCTTGCTCAGGCTGACCCAGCTGGCTAGAGATAGAACATGCACGGAGACATCTGGATGTCCTGTCCAGCATGCTTTCCCTCTACCTAACACAGCTTTCTGCCAATGTGACTAGATATTTTGTTCAGTGGGGAGGCATCAGGCAAACATCAGAATTCACAAACGGCACACAATGTCATCAAGATGTGTTTATTGAGTTCGTCGACTGTATAAAGATAAAATCCTGCTGGTACCTGCTTGAGCGCATCCTCATAGGATGGAGGCTGTGTTATCTCTGAAGCTGCTGAGCTTGACGTGGAAAAACTTGGGGATGGAACTGAAAACTTTGGTCCTGCCTTGTCAGAAGAGTGCAAACCCGCCATCTGTGTGGGTGAAATAGAAGCAAAGGCAATCAATTCTTGGGCCGGAAATGACACTGTTTCTTTATTAGAAGCTACACCTAAATTTTGGCAAAGTTGATTTAAGAAAAGAAAAAAAAAAAAAAAAAGACCAGGTCTAAGAAAGTAACTCCAAAATATTAATAATAGTCCATGTTGTTAAGTGCCATCAAGTGAGTTCCAACTCATAGGGTTTCTGAGGCTGTAAATCTTTGTGGAAGTAGAAAGCCTTGTCTTTCTTCCTTGGAGCGGCCAGTCACTTCAAACTGTCAATGCTGTGGGTTATTGACCAGTGTGTATCCTACAGAGTTATTGGACTTCTTATAACAGTCCATATCAGTGTAGAATTATTATTGGAGGCATCATAGAATAGGCATCTCGAAGATTCATTTTCCTTTCTAAAGTACACTGTGGAGTCTTGATGTGGCACTGTGGGATAAGCACTGGACTGCAAGATCAATTTAAACTGCAAGGTCGGCGGTTCAGATCCACCAGTCACTCCTTAGAAATCCTATACAGGGTGGCTATGTGTTGGAACAGACTCCACAGCACTTAACAACAATAGTGTACACTGCATTCTGTTAGGGGGAGAACAAGATGAAAAATAAAATGCAACAAAAGAGTTGTTGTTGTTATGTGCCGTCGAGTCGGTTCCGACTCATAGCGACCCTGTACAGGGTTTCTGAGGCTGTAAATCTTTATGGGAGTAGAAAGCCTCATCTTTCTCCCACGGAACAGCTGGTAGTTTCGAACTGCTGACCTTGCAGTTCACAGCCTGAATCATAACCAACAAAAGAGTACGCAGACATCTGTCAATCCAGAAAGTTCCAGAGTATTTTATCCTTCCAGGCCCTTTCCTTCTGAACTACGGTGTTTGCAGGGGGTTGGTAGTATTACTGGGGTTCTTTTTTTACAAACCAGCTTTGTTTGCTGTGAGTTTGTTCTCTTGTGGGAGTGTCTGTACTGTTTCAGGGTCTCTCCTCTAAGGAAAAAAGGGCAACAGTAGCCCAATGGGAGAACTCTCACCTTCCATGTACAACACCCAGATTCGACGCCTAGCTAATGAACACTAAGTATAGCAACCTTTCCGTCTGTCAGTCCAGGTTTGTGCGTTGCTAGGATGCTGAACAGGTTTCAACAAATCTTGCAGATTAAGCCGAAAGACTAGGAAGAAAGGCCTGGTGATCTACTTCCAAAAAATCAGCATGTGGAAATCTTAAGGATCACAACAGTCCAATCTGCAGCACATCCTGAAGATGGTACAGGGCCAGGCAGCATTTTATTCCATTGTGCATGGGGCTGCCGTGACTCCGGTACTAGATAAACGGGTCTCCCACAGGGAAGGTGAAAATGATACTACTGAAATACCACTGTTTCATTTTATAAACAGATCCTGCCCATATCAGTCATCATGATTTTTGGAAAGACCCCAGGAAATAGTCCCCTGTGATATCTTCTAACTTAGATCTCATTTCCAGTAGATTTGTTTCTCCCTAACAACGTCATTTATTTCAACTTTTGAACGTAGTATTTTGCTTTGGAGGACAAGAGTCACATAAGAGAGAAGTGATGACGTGTGAATGAAGCATGAACTCGGTTCTCACATGCCTACCTTTTGCTGTCCACCTGGGCTTTGGGGGCAGGTGTTACCCCCGGTAGTACCATGATTGTTGTCTGCCTGGGCGCCAGGGAAAGGAGGGTGGAGGCTGGGAGGCTGAGGGGAGAAACTCGCAGGATGGCCATCATGTACGGCTGAGCTCTGTACGCAGAGAAAAGCAACACAATTAAATTGCCAGCAACGACACTCCTGAGTGTGGCTTTTGCTGAAAACTCTAGTCCCGGCCCTAGTGTCTTATCTTTAAACCCGCCCCCCGCCAAACCACTTGTCATTGAATGATCCTGAATCGTAACCCCTTATGTGTCAGAGTAGAATTGTGCTCTATAAGGTTTTCAATGGCTTATCTTTTGGAAGTAGATCTTCTTAGGTGTTTCTGGGTTGACAAGAGCATCAGACCTGTCAATTCACAGTTGAGCACATGAACTTGTTTGCACCACCTGGGTGTCTTTTCAGACTTCATGGAATTCTATAGTTAGGTGAATTTGCCAAAAATATGGACTTGTACATAACACCTACTATGCAAAAACTTTCAACAATCCACTCCTAACCAGGATAAGAGTTCAAGACTCTGCAATCTGGTACGATTTCCATCTTCAAACTTAAATTCTGCTGTGCCTCTCTCTGAACATCTCCTTCTAGACAAATTGGCTTCAACAGATTCTTTACCTTTTATCTCCTTCCTATCTTTGTGGTGTGGCACTGTAGGATCAGCCCTGGACTGCAAACCACAAGGTCGGCAGTTCAAACCCACCAGCTACTCCTTGGAAACCCTGTGGGTTGGAATCAATGTGATGGCATTAACAACATCTTTGTTCACATCATTGCCTCTCCTAAGATGTCCTTTTCCTGTCGATTTTTATTTGCTGAAACCAGTTATTGTTGAGTTGATTCCAACTCACGGCACACTGCTCCAAGTGTCTCAGAGTAGAACTCTGCTCCGTAGGGTTTTCAATGGCTGTGACGGTGTCCGGAAGTAGATTACCACGGTGCATTTAAACTTCCAATCCTTTGGTTCATAGCTATATACTTAACTGTTTGTACTAGCTGGGGACTTGCTTTCAAATGTTACACTTCCCATAAAGTCCATTTCTTTACAGAGCCTTCCTTTCTATTTCTTTGTCATCAGCCTACCATCCATACCCACCTACTTTGTGTAGCACTTGATGTCAGAATCATGGATTCACCACTGTTAGGGATTGAATTGTGTCCCCAATAAATTTGTGTGGGCATCTTAGCCACTATACTTGTGTGTGCAATCTCATTTGGCGATAGGTTTTCTTTGTTGTGTTAATTAGGCAAGACCCTAGTAGGGTGGATTCTACATCTAATCACTTCTGAGTTATAAAAAGAGCAAATGAGACAAACACACACAGAGGACAGCAGAGGCTGTGTGAGGATCATCAAAGAAGTCAAAAAAAATGCCCGGGACTATTGACAATTTCTTAAGCCCTGGTATGGCACTATAGAATAAGCATATAGGTAACCATTTGGTCAGCAGTTCAAACTCACCAGTCTCTCTTGGAAACCCTACACAGGGTCACTATGAGTCAGAACTGATTCAACACACAACAACAACAACAAATGATAAGGAAGGAATCAGTACAGCTCAGAATTCAGGCTTTTAGCTTCCAAAACGTGTGGAAATAAATACACCGGTGGTAGTCTTTAATACTAAGAAGCTAAGACAGTAGTCTTTTATTGTTCTTGATCATTTTGTCTATTACAGATGTAATTGTTCATGTCTACAATGTTGTTGTTAAGTACTGTTGTCAGTTCCCATTCATAGTGACCCTGTACAGAGTTTCTGAGGCTGTCAATGTTTGCAGGAGCAGAAAGCCTCATCTTTTTCCTGAGTGGGTTTAAACCACTGACCTTGTGGCTCACAGTCCAGTGCTTATCCTTTAGATCCACCACGCTCCCTGTGTCTGCAATGAATGCTTTGTAAAACCATACCTCACTGTGCAATGTTATTTCATATTATAAAAATCAAATGTCTTACCGTCCACAGCTATGTGGCTATGTCTCAAGAGCTATTTTTATCTTTGTTGCCTAGGACACCACATGGTCAATAAACATTTGTTAATGATGATGATAATCCATATAAGTCCCAATTCCCCCTAGAGTGTCCACTCTGAACATCATTCAACTGAATGTGGTAGGTTTGTAAAAAATTAATTCTCATTACTTAGAGCTATGCCTTATACTCCCAGGTTCAGAATATTCCTTAGGGAAGGGGATGTACTTTGGAATCAGAACATCATGGTTCATGGTCTAGTCTGACATGATCCCAGGCAACTTGTCTAACCTCCCCAAGCTTCATTCACCTCAATGACAAATAAAGACTAATACAATGGAGCCCAGAGGGTTGTTGT